AACCTGGGGTTCCGCCTCCATCAATCATGCATTCACACAAAAATACACACTCTTGTGTGTTACAGCCTGCTCAGTGTTTTATAACTAAGGTGTCACTTTATTTTTAAGCTCATTTAATAAGACAAGTTGAACCAGAACAGACTCATTTGGAGCAGCATAGAAACACATACAGTACACACATGGATCACTGTGTAGAGCTATGGGCAGCTTCTGCACAACTTCTATAATTAATTAAAGTCCCACTCCAGAAACATTTTCATTTTTATATTTGTATATAAAAATACTTTACTATAAACAATATGCAGTCTAACACAGCTTTTCCTCAAAAAAATTTCAGTGGGCCTCTGTAATAGGAATGAACATTGCCCCTCATTGTGCATTCCAGGATCTATGAATGTTGCCGTCATCCCTTATGTGGATTTGAATAATTTTGCACGCCCAATTTTTCAGTTTTTTATTTGTTAAAAAAGTTTGACATATCCAATAAATTTCGTTCCACTTCATGATTGTGTCCCACTTGTTGTTGATTCTTCACAAAAAATTACAGTTTTATATCTTTATGTTTGAAGCCTGAAATGTGGCAAAAGGTCGCAAAGTTCAAGGGGGCCGAATACTTTCGCAAGGCACTGTATTTTCCTGAAATCTGTAACTGCCAACAGGCAGTGCATGTTACTGTGTGTGTTTTGTTTTGGAGAGAAGTCAGAATGAAAAGGTGGTATTTCTTTGGCTGGCTACTTTCAATATCCAGCCTCCTCTTGCAGGTTTTTCCAGGAATGCAACTATACCTTTAACCCTTGACTGTGTCCAAATAGAAGGTCAGGCGAGCAAAGTAGTCATCACAGCAAAGGATGCAGCACCGGTGCTTCACAAGGCGATATTATCTGTCTGCGAGATGCAAGACAGGGGTGGAGTGTGTAGGGGTGGATCTCATTGTGTCCAATTATGCCCCCTACTTAAATATCATTGGTCAGGTGACCCTGATAGCCGAATGGTTATGGTGCTGCATGATGTTGGTGGACCGAGTCTGACCGCCGACCTATGTTGCATGTCTCCTCTGTATTTCCTGTCTGCCTGACACGAACTGGCTTAATATTTACATATAGATTACCACACCATAACGTTGTGGGCTAATCAGTCCCTTCATGTATGTGGCTGCCGCCTGTTATGTGGTCACTGGGAATTTAACTGCGACTCCAATACAAATTAGCAGAGAGCTGTGTTTCAACACTGAACTCTTCACTGAACAACGTAACAACGCACGATATTACACTTCCTTTTTCCTGGAGATTTAGACTTTTTTTAAAGTGTCACTTGCATGACTGTACTAAGTCCAGGCAAAGCATTACTGCCACCATGTGACTGCACTTAGTTATCAACTCAAACAACAAGATGTTTGCATTTATACCTAATACTAAATTAACTATATAAACTAACAGCAATCAACTAAAGCTACAACAGTCACTCAGCACAGCACTCTACTTCAACTGCTTATAATATGTTAATGCTTTGTTTTCTCAGTTGCAATTGTAAAGGCATCACCTATTTACTGTCAAGATAACCAGTGGTGGAAAGTGAGGTATCTGTACTTTACCTGATTTCAGTAATATTTACCTTGGAGACAAGCATTGTACTTTTTACTCAACTACATTTATTTGTCAACTTCATTTAGCCTCCTGGTTACTTTTCAGAATGAGATCAATAAAACAAAACATAACCTAGAGTTTATTTATGGCTGGCGAGAGTTCACAAACTACACAGCAGTAATTTAAATTCTAAGCATAGGCTTTACCAGCTGTCGGTGGAACGTATATAATGTTTGAGGCTAATACTTTTATACTTAAACATTTTCAATGCAATATCTTGACCTGTAACAAAGTATTTCTATACACTGGTATTTTTTACTTAAGTAAAGAACCCGAGTAGGCTACGTCTTCCATCACTAAAGGTAACTGTCACTATCCCAAGCACATGGAAACAGACTAGTTCAGGTTTCACCAGATGATCAGACACAGTGTTACATAGCTTCAAGTTTGACATACAGTAGGTTGGAAGGGAGAAACAGGATGAACATCTCCTAAATGTTTGGCCCAATTATTGTTTTGTTTTTTTTACATTTTTGCTGTTTCATCTAGGCATAATTCTTATGTCCCTTCTATGGATTCACGTCCATCACGGTTGTTAAAGTTTGATGTTCTGTACTAACACCTAGCCATTTCAGCTGCAAAGCTATTGTTATCACACCACTATCTAGCAAAATCAAGGCAGTACAAATATTCTTGCAGTGTATTTTGTGTTGTGTCATCAATCTGATGTCATTTTAAGATGAGAAGGGCTGCTGGTCAGGGAAGAAGTAAATTACTGCCCTTGAAGAAATACAGTAAACATAACAAAACCATCAGTATGGCATTTAAACATGTCAGCTGAAATATTAATATACGGGAATAAACAAACAATGACACTTGACATGTAGGTATAACCTCCCCCCTTCTTTGTTTGTGTATTTCCGTAAACAACTTCTGTATGTCACCTATTCATGTATTTATATGTACTGTATGTATGAAAAACCAGAAAAAACTCTACAACAAATACAGTTTACCTTTTCAAATTAATTATACATATATCCCCTCACTGTGTTGTTTTTATTGGAGAAAGGCTCAAGATGAAACACTACACCAATTTATAAACAAAAGAATATTTTTAAAAGTTGTGTCTGACTGTTTTACATATAACATCTTCAGCATAATGTAGAACAAAAGGTGTATCAGAACACAAACATTTTAAATTGGACCAACTCAGACTGGTATTGTAGATCGTTGCGTGAGAAGCATTTTTTTCTGAGTCCCATTATATAAAAACAACTAAACTACAAAAGGCTTCAGGTCTAGTCTTGGTAAGATAAACCAGTGCTTACGTCAACCGACTGAAGGTTTTAAAAAGCAACAAGAAACACTTTCACAAAGAGTTAAAACCACAATTTCTTTCCCTCAGAAAAGTGTTTTTAAGTTGAGGGACTCACAAAATACAGATTAAAACATGATAATTGAAGATGCAGAAGCATCATACTCCAAAAATACTCAAGCCTACAATTCCCAAACTGGAATAGCATTGTTTCTTCACTTTTGTCATCGACAAAACTGCTAAACTGAAATGATGTGTCAAACTTGATGTGCACACGTTAGAGGACAATTTTCCACAGCAACAATCCTGTGCTTACATAACAATCCTTGTTTTCTGTCTCTCTGCTAAAAGGCTGTTAAACTAAGAGCGGCAAGTGGCCACTTGTATCACTGCGTACCTCGCTAAATCTTCAGCTAAATCAAAATCATTCATTTCTTCACAGAACGTGCACAGTGACAGAAGCAACAGAGTCACCCATCATAGTTAAACTGTAACAAATGATGATAATCTCAAAACACATATCATTCTGTAATACAGGAACTACAGTACAGTGCAAGACAGTCATAAGGTACATCAAAATTACTGAGAGGACACTATACACCCACACTGGCAAAATCATTTTTCAGAATGAATACATTAATTATACACTAATTATTCACTGCTTTATGAACCACATTCAAATCCCATGTTATTTACAGATTAAACAGTGGATAAAGCAATTTACTTATATCATTTTAGACATGTAATTATACAAATACCTTTAAAAACAGCCACACTCTGTCTTAAAGGTTCCCCATGGAGTTTTACACCTCTAGGAGCTATGGAGGTGCACGAGGATGCACATGTGCATACTCCTCCAATGGTGGCAGGAATACATGCTGCACTGCATCTGCAAAGGCAGGGAAGAAGAAAACTGCAAACTAGTTTACATGGATGTAAATTATGCAGTATTTAAATACTCTTAAAAATCAGCTCTGCATATGTTTTATGAAGAATTAAATGTACACAGTATGTTTGTTAGACCTCCTGGAACCAGTGTCTTTTGGGGAGAAACTGAAGGTAAACAGACGTTTTGTCTGTTTACAAGAACAGACCATAGGGCACCTTTAAAGGCTGAACAGGCAAAAATGCACAAAGGAGTTTAAAGTGTCTGCAGTGGATAAAGGAAACATTTTCAAACTGCAAAGGCAAGAAAATAGTACATAACAAAATAAAAAAGAAAAAACTCATCACCCTCACAATATATTCATTTTTAAAACAGCAATTATTAATAGTTTTGTTTTTTTTAAACACCATCATGATACCCTTGTCTATTGTGAAGAAACCTATTTTTCGTTACCTGCATATTATTTTGTTAAAAGCAGAAGTGGTTTAAAACCTTATACCAGCATTTTCTTTAAACTAATTGCATCACTGGTGTACATATTGTTGAATTCCCCTGTAGTATTGAATACTGAATATAATTAAAGTTTAAACCAGCACATGTTCAGTCAGAGAAAACCCTGACATAGTTATGCTTCTAAATAGTTTTGTCAAATCCCTGGATGGATGACTGAACAGGACTACCAGGCACAGGGGGCCCCTAAGCAAGAGCCTCTCTCTGAAGCAACGTGTGCATGTTTTCTCATTGAAAATCAAGTTCCTTATAACTTGAGATGTTATGATCGTACTTTTTTCATCCTGATCCTTTAATAGTGATTGCATGCTGATCATTTATTTTTATTATATATATTTATCTTTTACTAATACATTTGCACATTGTAAAATCTGTCAATAAAATACTGTTTTTGAAATGGACCTGAGACCAGGAGTTGCCGTGTCCCACATAAAGTTAGGATCAGGCTTCTATAGCATGGTGGAAATATTGAAGTTTTGGTTTATTAATCCAAAAACAATCCTTATTCATGGCTTAAGTTGCTGTTGACTTTTTAAGTATGAAAACAAGCTCACTAGCCCAACCTTTCACTAAGCACAGTGCACTGCCTAAAAGTCAGCACACATCATTAGTAGGGTTCACAGATGACCAGTTGTTTTAGGTTTGTTCTGGATCACACGATTGCATAATAATACGCATGGACATTTTTCTGCCAATTTTTAAATAATTGTATCATTTGCAATGCCTATGATTAGCATAGTTTCTAATCAAACATACCATCTCAGTTGTTCAATTAACAACTCAGTGTGCTTCTAAAGGAAATTCCCACCCAGACTGAAGGGGGTGAACTTCTGACCCTGCTGGGCTCCAATCTCAGCAACATACAAAGCTCCAGTCTTGAGGTCCAGGTCTACCAGGTGTGGCTTCACATCATCGGCAAGCTGGATCACACTAGCGACTCTGCACTGACCAATCAAACCCACTGGTGGTGCATCCAGCAATGAAATCTGATTGGTGTTGAGCTGGACAACAACAAAATACTTTTTGTCAGGGGTCAGGCGGACAGAGTAGGGTGCATCTTCAGTGAAGCAGCTCCCCCAGGTCCCCAGCCAGTCCCCGGTGACAGAGTTGAAGACCTGGATCCTCTTGTTGCCCCTGTCAGCCACCCACACCCTCTGGGTGTTGTCCACGGTCACACTGTGGGGGATGTAGAATTGAGCCGGACCTTGTCCTTTCTCTCCATGGATCCACAACACCTCCTGCTCTTTAGACAGCTTGATGAGGCGGTTGTTCATCCCACCATCACCATCCACAATATACATTTCCCCAGAGTCGTGGACGAAAATCTCAGCTGGTTGGTCAAACTGAAGAGGGTTCAATCCAGAGCCTGCCTTCCCTAGTGTACCCAGTACCTGGCACATATGAGAAAACATTCAACAACAAGCAACAGTCTGTATTTGTAATTCTATGTATCACTCTAATACATACAGTGAATGTAAACCAGGCTATTGGGGCCTGAGCTAACAATTCCTAGCACCAAATCAAATCCTACTGTAAATAAAGCTGCTACCTGCAGGAGCTTCCCAGATGGTGAATACTGTTTGATGGAGTGTCCATATGGGCCATTCCCCACATCTGTGATCCACACATTAGGGTTTGAGGAGGCTGCATCTGCTACAAATATCCCATGAGGCATCTCCAAGGTGGTTGTGTTCCAGGACAAGAGGAAATCTCCATCAGTGGTGAAAACCAGCACCTTGGGCACATTGACACCTAGGAGCAAAGCAAAGGCAAACACTGAGCAAATGTGGATTAATACCCAGCTAAAAACAGTCAACAACAAATGCACTGTTACCTTCTCATATTAATGTTTAATAAACACTACAGTGACCACTTGTTTTAGTAAAGTGGTTTCCTTTTTTTATAAAGGAAACTATATATGGTGAGCTATTTAAAAGACATCAGTAGGAAACAATAAGCTCAGAGCTGAGAAAGAGAGACAGGGTGGAGAAGTCAAAGTACTGACAGATGGACTAAAACTGTTGCTTCAAGTCTCTTCTGGAGTTTTCAGAATTGTCAATAAATAAACTATAAAGTAGGGCTGAATATTGAGACTGATCTCTCAATTGAATTTGATTTTGACTCCACTGTTTAAGTCGATCGGATTCAGTTCAATTTGTTTCATGATGATTCATTTACATCAGATAAATATCAATGTTTTGTAAAGTGCTTTTCAGACTCTTTGAAACTTTTATTTTTTCTACAAGTGAGCAACACTGTTGTTTTCTTGAGTTGAATTGTGTGAAGTTCACATTATAGGCTACATTGTGAACACATTTCATGGACCAAGGATTTCTTTTCCTTGGCAAATGCAAAACTACTAAAATATGACTGGACCCAATTGTTCATTTGGATATTTGTTCGCTGGATAGCCAATCAGTTTTCAATTTGAATATTCGGGACAGCAGGAAATGTCAATGCAGTCTGATGCCTAACGAAGAGGACAGAGAACAGGACTGAGATAGCATGGACTGTTAGCTGGTACAACTGAAAAGGCTGGAGCTAATTTCCCATAAGCTTAGACATTGTGCAGAGAGAGAGACCAGGGGCCTTGTCTTACAACAGACGCATGGCGTGCAGCGCAGGTAACGCATCTGTGTTTCCTCATTTCCTACCTACCTACACTTAACATTTTCATGGCATGCGCATCACGTCGCCTTCCGTCGACTTCGCGCCGGCAGGTGTGTCCAGATGAAAATGGGGTGTGTCTAGGTAAATCTGGTAATATGGGGGCGCACAAAGAGACTCCCTACTGACCAGCAAAAACCAGGTTTGTGGTCAACAGTCAAATCACGATTGCTAGTTAATGGGTGCTTTGACCGTGTGTGATGCGCGTCTGTCTAAGTGCGTGCACAATACTCGTGCACGGTGCTTGTTATATCCTGGAACGCGCTGTACAGGACATTCAAAACTTTAAAAAAAATTAAAGATGATATTGCGTTCATTGGGTGTTGTGCACACCTATATATAGATAGATAGATAGATAGATAGATAGATAGATAGATAGATAGATAAAATAAATACCATTATGACTAGTGATTGTGCGTTCACCTTGCGCACGAGCAGATCAGACGTCCGACCTGGCAAGTCCGCCAGTATGCTAACAATGTGCCAAACATTCAAACTCACATGTTTCCTAAAGGGGATGTGAGCTTACACACTGACTGGATAATTGCATGTTACAACCAAAACACATCCCTGCTTTAATGAAGGGACCAAATACGGCCCTTTTGCTACGTGCTGAGACATAATCTTAATAGTCCTTCAGAGTGATATTGTGCTCCAAAAGTGTTTGCTTAAAGGTGCAGTGTATAAGATTTAGAAGGATTTATTATGCAGGGTGTCCTGAGATGACCTTTGCTGTGATTTGGCACTATACAAATGAAAAACTGCACTGAACGAAATTGAAATTAGAATTTTTTTTAAAACTTTGTTTTTTATTGATTTTTTTACTGTCATGGGAAAACACAAAGGCAAATGTTTAGGGTTAACAAGGGCAGCATTACAGTGTTGTAAAGAAACAGTTTTGCAGTGATATTAATAATGCACTACAATGTACAAGCACTCTCAGTAATTGCCAACCATTTTTACCAGTATTTGACATACAGTATTGATCATGTCCCAATTTAAGGACAAAGGTCCTTAACTCCTTTTGACTCCTTACCTGACCCCAAAGGAAAGCTGCACAAGAATTCCTGTATGCCTAGACTGTCTGTTTATGCATAAATGGCAAATAACATTCTTGAATCCTTGAGTCAGTTTCTTTAGTTGATGTATTTCATTAAAAACTATACTCCGGTCCTCCTTTTTTGGGAGTTCGGTTGTAGCCTTTTATGTGCGATAGCTTTCTCGTTAATATAAGAATAAAATCAATCAATCAATCAATCAATTTAGAATGATTTGTTGGAAGAAATTGGCTATAGTATGCATAATCACACCTTGACTGATGTCTAATCACAAAAATTAAGAATTTTCATTTTCTTAAGCTTAGAATTAGCTATTTTATATCTACAGTTAAAGTCAGTTCACATACACTTAGGTCTCCACCCCCTCTTTCTTTCTCTCTTTCTTTACTAAATCATATTGCTACGTACCTCTGCATAACCACGAAAGCGCATCTACACCAAGAGGCACCCACCAAGGCTGAGAAATGAAGCCAATGTGGGGTGCATACAGGGCTGCACCCCGCCCCCACCTTGGACGCTCAGACCACATTTCTTTGTTCCTGTATCCAGCTTACAGACAAAGACTGAAACAAACAAACCCTGTCACCAAACAAATTAAACTCTGGACCCCAGAGACTGAAGGCACCCTGCAGGACTGTTTCGCCCAGACAGACTGGGATGTGTTTAAAGCTGCAGCCACCTCAGAGGACTTTTCTGTCAGCGTACAGGATTATGCTGAGTATGTGACCGGATACATTAGTACCCGTATTGACAACATTGTGCCCACCATACAAGTCAGGAGGTTCCCCAACCAGAACCCCTGGATAAACAGTCAGGTACGCCACATGCTACGTGCTCGCTCTCATGCATTCAG